ACAACAACAACAAAACTATAAATACTGTAACAAGAATTCATTTTGATCTTGTGTCTAACATGTCAAATACACATAGTCACTTTGGTTCACACCTCTCACACAATTCTGACCAATTAATTGCTTTAATAGGTTCTCTTGTCACACTGCCTGTATTAGTTAGCTGTTGCTGCTGTAACAAGTTACCACAAACTTAAGAGGCCAAAACCACCACAAATTCATCATTTTACAGCTCTGAGGGTGAGAATTCCAAGTAATTCTCTGTGGGTTGAAATCACGATGTAGCAGCTCCTTCTGGAGTCTGTAGAGGAGAATCCACTTCCTTGCCTTTTCCAGGATGGAGAGGCCCCCTGAATGCTCTCCCTCGGGGCCCATGCTTCCAACTTCATCCTCATTCCTCCCCTCAGTCCTCTGCTTCAGTCTTCATATCTCCTCTCCCTGGCACTAATCCTCTTGCCTCCCTCTTGTAAGGGGCCCCTGTGATCACAATGGGACCACACAGATGACCCAGGGTCATGTCATCTTGAGATCCTTAATTTAATCTGTAGAGTTCCTTTTACCAGTTAATCTAATATATTCTCAGCTCCTAATATTCAAGACAAGGACATGTTTAGGGAGATCATTATTCAGCCTAATATAGGGTTCAACATAGAATATGAGGTTAATGTTTGTTTAGTTAATTTACTTAAATCATTCCCACTAAGTGCTCTTCTATTTTAAATTTTAACATGAACAAGAAATTCTACATAAATATTCCCTTTTCTCTTTTTTTCCATACCAATACTTGGGTCTCCTACTAATCACCCGAAACTTACTTTCATGGCAGATATGAAAATGTACTTGGACAGTTGAGAAATACAGAAATATGTGATTTGAGTTGCCAGCTCAATCTCTTCTTGTTAAGCCTTGAAAACTTGACATTTGAAAGAGAAAGGCTATGTAATAATTGCACTTTGTAAGATATTCTTCCAGTTTGGAGACATAGAATTTTATAAGGTTCCAAATGTCCCATAATCAAGCTTTAAACTGGGTAGTCAAACCCACACACAACGGGGGTGAGGATTCCTTGAAAAGGCAGGGACAGGGATTTTCTAATTCTTTCCATGCTTTTTGAGAAAATGTTTAAATGGAAAAAAACAAACGATGGCCTTCCTGAGTTAAAACAGTTCCAATCGCTTCAACAGATCACTGCACAAGAATGAGCAACTGCTTATTGAAATTCTGCCTCCTGGAAACACCTCCAGTGCCCTCTTGTTCAGGGAAAAGTCTGTAATATTAATCAACTGTGGCTTTACAAAAGCTGGGGCCAAATGCAAAAAGCTTGATTCTGCAGGCACGTGCCGGCCGCGCGAGCTTAGCATGAGTGACTTCCCTGTGTTGTTCGGGTGACTCCAAGGAGTCCAGCGCCACACCTCCACCACCTTCCTGCCCCAGTTTTTCTGCTTCCCTGATCTTAGACTGGTGACCTACAGTGTGTCCCCATGGACTTCTATATATCTTAACTTGGCTCTAAAAAGCTTGCTATGTTGACATATTGGGAGAAATCTATAATCCTTCATCTAAAACTTTTGGAAAGAAAAATGTTTAGAATTTTTTTTTATTTTAAAAAAGAAACACAGAGCATATATCATATATTAAAATTAATCATTATTCCTTATTATTTCTGCAGCAAAATATATAAATATTCTCATGAAATAGAATTAAAATAGAATTAAAAATAAGGTTATAAAAATATTTTTTACACCCATTTTTAGGTCAGCTGGTGGTACTAATTTAACTTTACAAAAATCCTTGGAACCTTTTAGAATTTAGATTTTAGAATTTCACATAAGGAATTGTGGGATTGTGGACCAGTATACCATATTGATGGGGATTGTGATTAGAGGTAGTAGTACTAGTAGCTGTTAAGTGGTAGTAGGAATATTTTGTTGTTTACCATCCAAATGGGGGCACAGGAAAACAGACTCCTAGAATCAGTGGAAAGAACCTTAGTGACACAGAGTGTCCATTTCCTTTTACCAACAGGGAAATAGAGCACCAAGTGCTTTGTTGAGCCTGTAAATGAACTCTAAGCTGAATGCTGAGTTTTGATGTTAGACAGACATAGGTTGATCTCAGTCCTAACTAAATTTGTCATCTTGGAAGTTTTACTTTCAGCCTACACCCACGTTAACATTATTCCCTCTGTTTTGAGAGGCTCTTTGCTCAGAGGGCACTTATGAGCATTAAATTTGCCAAAGTAAGTACAATGTTTGACACAGCAAGCTATACATCCTACATGTTCAATAAAAAGCAAAAATTCCTCAGTGGTGATTTTTATTGTTGCTATTGACCTAATTCAATTAAATTTAGTAACCATTTACTGAATTCCTCGCTGTAAGGCACTGGACTGTTACAGGAGTGTGCAGGGCAGAATTATCTGCCCAGTACACTGTAAGCAACTCAAGGGATTCCCTTAGATCTGCATTGTGAGCACCTAGCACAGTCTCTGATGCACAGTAGACACTTTGGATGAATGAAAATAAACTCGAGGTACTGAAAAACAAACAGTGGATATAAAAATGGTAACAATGAAGAGTGTGACAAATACCTTAACAGGTTTGCAAAGTGCTATGGGAACAGAAAAAAAAATTATATATATATATCTATCTTGTGGCTTGGAACAGAAGAACACTTTAAAGATGAAGTATTTGTGATAGGCTTTTAGGCCTAAGCAGCAGGCTAGGCCTTCAGCAGGTGCAGCTGGGGGTCAGGGAAAGACCATTCCAGGCAGAAGGAAGAGTGTCAGCAAAGTCCTACGAACGCAGAAAAATGCAAAGTATGTTAGATAAGGATTGGGCTGTGTGCTAGGGAGATGATGTGGGGGAGTCACATGGGACACAGGCAAGGGGAAACACAGCTTGCAAAGCTTTGGGAGTGGGCGAAGACTAAGTCTAATAGAACCTGATATGATATAGAAAGGAGTAGAGACTGGATATTGAGGTTTGAGATGGCTGAAAATTTTTAATTTTGCCTTTTTTCAGAAAGAAATGATCCAGACTAATATGACTTAGACCAAGCTTTAGGAAAATGGCAGTAGTAGTATTTTATAGGAAGAATCAAAGAACAAACAGAGGGAAAGTAGATAGACCCATAGGAATACATCAAAAAGCCTTTGGTGGAAATGATAAATACCTAATCCAGGGCAGAGGGGGAGTTAGGAGGGGAGAGAATAAGTGGGCACAAGGAGAATGGACCTTATTTGGCAGCCAATTAGATATTGGAAACAAAGAAATGAGAGGATTCAAAGATTACTTTTTGTTCTTTAGACCTTGGGGTACGGTAGTACCGAAGAAAAGGGAACAGATAGATGTTGAATTAGGAAGGCAGACAATGATGAGTTCACTTTTAAAAGGAACAACAAATTGCCACTTGTTCAAAGTCAAAAACAAAATGAACCACGGATGTCAGGAAAGTACACATTCAACCAATAGCAATCATTCAGGGGCCGGTGTCTTCAGAACCAAGCAATGGGCCTGCTTACCCTGCACTGTCCTTATTTGCGGGAGGCTGCACAAAGGCCAGAGCTTCATGTGGGCCCTTAAGTGGTGGCTTCATGTACCATGAGGAGATCACGCCTACTTACACGAAATGAGCACTGCAGGTGCTCATGGCCACCTAGGACTTGTCATGGTGGGTAGTTATATGTGGGGATCTCACAACTAGCTCATAAAGAATCCCAGGCTATCAGCGAAGGCACAGGTGTGGGAAGTGTATGCCACCAAGGTGCCCTCACCCTTGAGCCATCCACCTTCCTACCCTGCAATCAGAGACTCTTATTAAATTTTCACTGGTGGCCCCTCACTTGTTCCCCCAGTCTCAGCTGAAGAGTAATGCAAAATCCTTTCCAGGAGGAAGTAGTAATAAAGGATCATTATTAAGAAGCCATATGTTGTAATGCAGGGGTTGGCAAACTTTTCCTATAAAGGACCAGAGAGTAAAGACTTTAGGCTTTGCGGGCCATATGGTCTCTGCCACAACTACTCGATCCTGCCATCAGAGTGAGAAAGCAACCATAGACGATGTGTAATGAATGGGCATGGCCCTGTTCCAATACAACTTTATTTAAGAAAACAGGTGGCAAACCAGATTTGGCCCTCGGGTCATTATTTTCTGGTCCTGTTAGGTGGAAGGGGCTTAGCCAGAGCTTAGGCTCAAATCTACCACTTCCCCAAAATGTCAATTGGACACACATCTCTGTCAGATATCATTATACCTTTCTTATTGGTGAGAATTCGAGAAAAACGAGTCTAGAAATGCCTAATAAACAACAGGCATTCACTAAGACAGGGAATGATCCTTTTAATTACAAGGCATAATAAAAATAAAAGCTAACATTTATTTAATGTTTATGTGTGTTAAGTACTTTGCAATCTATTTTTTCATTTAATCTTTCAACAACTCTCTATAAAGTGCAAACTATAAGAGTGTTCCTTTCTACTCTTGGGGAAACTGAGGCACTAAGGGGTGCCCAAGAGATACTTGTACCCATAGGAAGTGATGTAGCTGGTACTTCCTAACAATAAATGGACTCCCGGGCCCTTGATACTAATCCCTATGCTGGTTAATTAGTTCCACTAATTCAGCTTCAATTAACATGCTCAGAATCATCGTAGGTTCTTCAGGGCGTCTCATAACTTCTCACAGGGCTACATAACTGAAAATAGTTTAATACAACAACTTTTCAAAATTCACCTTCAGGTTAACACTCGGATAACATCTTACATAAGTAAAACGCTTATTTCAACCTCCCTCCCCCAAGAAAGAGCTCAACAGTGAAGGAAAACCAAAATACTACTGAGAAAGCTCATGCAAAACCATTTCCAAAAATTTAGCCTATAATCACTCTGAAAACTTGCAATTTCAAAGCTACACTGCAGAATAGCATACTGGATTAATTATGCCAGGCTGCAGCAATAACCTTGAATTAAAGCTGCAACCTTCTATTTTTAAGAAACACTTGCCTTTCTGGTTGATGAAACCTGTCGTCCCATCAGGTAACAGACGTGACCAGGAAAGAGAGAAGCGGTAATGAGTCAATCCAAGCTGTTTGATACATTTCAGATCTTCCTCCCACAGAGTGTAGCTGCCACAAGCTACATCGCCAGTATGGTTCTTGAAAACTCTCTCTCCTCCCTGATGGGTGAATGTGTCCCAGACACAAGGGCCTCTTCCATCTGCATCCCAGCCTCCTGAGAAAAAGAAGAAAATGCAACAGTTACACTCTTGACATAGAGAGGCATATGTGGAATGTAAATATTTGTCACAGAAAGAACACACCTCATTAGCTCAATGTGCCATATTTATAACTTTAAAATATGCCTTTAAAATAACACGTGTGAGTGGGTTATGTGTTTAGCTGTTCTTGATCCCTGAAGCTGACTAGTGGAAAATAAAAAATTACTGCATCAGTACCTCTGCATAGCCAGCTTTCATGGTTCATTATCTGAAGATCTCTTGGCTGGTAAACAGAGGTAGGATCCAACTTATGAATGTCTGAGTCCAAAACATTGTCTCCGCATGAACATTCCTCCCGGCCATGACTGACACACCCTGTCCTTGCACACCACATAGTCTTGGGACCTTATGTCTGGCCCTTCATACTTGAATCTATTATGGTCTGGAAATGGACTTTCTCCCAAAGGCTCATGTGTTAAATACAGAGTCCCCAGTGCAGCGGTGTTCAGAGATGGAGGCTTTGGGAAGCGATTGAACCATAAGAGCTCTCACTTCACCAATGGACTAATGAATTCAGAGCTGAACAGACTATTTGAGAAGTGGTGGAAACTGCAGTAAGTGGGACCTGGTGGAAGGGTGTAAATCCTTGGGAGCATGTCCTTGGGGACTGTGTCTTGTCCCCAGTCCCTTCTTTTCTCTCTCTCTCCCTCTCCCCTTCCCATTTCTCCCTCTCTCTTTCTGCTTCCTGAATGCCTTGAAGTGAACTCCTATGCTCCTCCAGGCACTCCATGTCCGAAGCAACAGGGTAAAAAGTGAACATGGGCTGAAATTTCTGAAACCATGAACCAAACTAAATTTTTCCTCCTTTAGGTTGATTTTCTCAGGTATTTTGTCACAGCAACAAAGAACCTAATGAACACAACCCTGTCCACCTGTTATCTGACAGTGGAGCCTATGATGGTCCAGTCTCTTATCTGTGGGAAGTCACTCATTTTCACTGTTGATATGATATTGGTATCTGAAATTCATCATTTGTACTTCCATTAATCCCATGTATGTTTTGTATCAAGCACTATGCCTAGTACAAGTGATGCCAGGGTGAACCACATTGTGCCTGCGGTTCCTGGGGATCTTACATAAGAGGCAATTGCAAAACAACCAGTGTCATGGCCCATACCTTTACAGAAAGCAGGGAAGGGCATTCACTCAATTGTGAGGTAGAGTCCAAAACTGACCTGAAATATAGTCTATTCATCTATTTTTAAAGAATATATACATTATTTTAATCATGTTTTATATTTAAGGAAATATAAGGTAACCTATGTATTTTCCGAGCATATACCTAGGAAGCCAAAGTACAGCAACATTCCTGGGACTGAAAAACTCAGGTTAGGGGTTGTCCTCAGGGAAAAAATGGGGCATGAGGAACCAGGGAAGAGCACAAGTGGTGTTCAGTGGCATCTTCCGTGTTTCATTCCTGAGACAAGGTGGAAGGCACATGGGAGACTGTTTACTGATTATCCACAATCCTTTTTTATAAGCCTAGACTATCCCATCCTAATTGTGATGTAAGTGAAGTGTTTACGGCTGGAGTAAACAAATGCTATCCTCAGGTCCTCAATGAGCATCTCGGTACTCATATTGTACGCACAGTTCCAACAGGATCAGATATCGTCACCAGCCCAAGAAAGGGACGACATACAAGGTAAGAAGTTATGGGAGAGAGCCAAGGACGGTGGCACAGGCAGTAATCTCAGCTACCTGGGAGGCTGAGGCAGGACGCGCTCAAGTTCAAGGGCAGTCTGGGAAACCTGAGAGACTCTGTCTCAAAATAAAATGAAAAGGCTGGGGATATGGTTCAGTAATGAGTACCTCTGGGTTCAATCCATAGAGGAGGAAAAGGAGGAGGAAGAAGAGGAGGAGGGGAAGGGGAGGGGAAGGATACAAAAATAGTACTAGTAGTAGTAGTGGTGGTGGTGGTGGTGGTACTTGTAGTAGTAGTAATAACAGCAGCATCTGTGGGTGAGAACCATGAGGAGACAGGAGAAGCTGCTAAAAGGGGGCGCTCTAATAAAAGCAAAATGAGCACTGATCTCAAGGAAGGATACTAAGATCTACACAAAGAACTCTGGACTAGTTAAAACGTATTGTACTTTCCAGAACGAGACAGATACAAACATGAAAATATGATTTTTTCAAGTATGGTGCTCACAGTTTTGAATAATTGATTCAATAAATGAAGGCACTTAATCTCAGAGAATTTAAGCAGTGGTATGCTAGTAAATATTTAACTACTGGCTATATGTTAAAAAAAAACCGCATAGACATGTAGAAGTGTTTACTGTCGATCTTACTAAAGGATAGACACAGTTTATAAATAATAAAATATGCAGTGTTCCTTGCTGTAAATTCCATGTAGTCAATTGATTTTCATAGAATGGTCTTTTAATTTTTACATGTGTGGTCATTGTGCAGTTACAAACTAATAAACATGTAGTTTATACATGACAGTTGGTTGATATTTTTGCTTAAAATACAACCATTGGTATTTGAAATTCATCTGAAAGGAAAATAACGAAGATGTACCAGAACTTGACTTGTTCACCAGTGATGTGAGCCACTTCTTTACTAAATCATATAACAATTTTCAAATACTGAAAGAATATTTCCTCAGTTTTTGTGCTACTCACAATGCAACAGCCACACAAGTTTAATCTGCACTTTTGTTTTAGTCAATTTTTTGCCACTGTGACCAAAAGACCTGACAAGAACAATTTTAAATAAGAAGGAAAAGTTTATTTAGTGCTCAGGGTTTCAGAGGTCTCAATCTATAAACAGTTGACTCCATTCCTCTAGCTCCAATTTGAGACAGAATATCAAAGCAGAAGAGTATAGCAGTGGAGAGCAGCTCAGGACATGGCAATCAGAAAGCAGAGAGAGTTCTACTCACCCGGGACAAAATATAAACCTTAAAGGCACACTCCTAGTGACCTACTTCTTCCAGCCGCACCCTACCTGCCTACAGTTACCTATCCGTGGTTACAAAGCTCATCATCTAATCATTTCACCCTGAACCTTCCTGCATTGTCTCATGCATGAGATTTTGGGAAACATTTCACATCTAAACCATCACAGTTGTTAATGCTTTCTCAGGTCCTGACCACAAACAAAATAATAAATCAAACACTGACTTTCAGCATTTACCAATATCTGTGGTATAATTGGCAGCCATGGCCAAGTTCCAACAACCAATGTGATAGAACCGAAGGCAGAAAGATGAGGAGTAGCTTTTGGTTTTGGTTATTTGGAATGAACCCAAGGAGGGAAAGGGTGTGCTACCACTGAGCTACATCCCAGCACTTTTGTATTTTAAGATAGTGTCTCACTAAGTGGACCAGGCTGGTCTTGAATTTGAGATACTCCTGCCTCAGCCTCTTGAGTAGCTGGAATTACAGGTATGTACCACTACACCTGGCTTAACTTAGTTTTTAATTTAAATTCTTTATTTATGCATCTATATTGTTTAATTTTTTTTAAATTGCTGTGTTTAAGAATCAGCTCATTAAAGTACAGGAAACTTAACAATAGCCTCTCATGAGCCAGCATAAGCTGCTTCACCATATTGCTGATACGTAACTCGCCTAAGAGCACACTGTTGGATAGTAATAGTGCCAAGATTCGTATCCAGATCTTACAAGTTCAAGTCCTTCCACGTGATCATGCTGCTCTTTATAATAAAACTCGAGCAATGAAGAAAGAGCCAACTGATGCCATACTCCTCAGAAGTGCAAAACATAGTCTATCTATGTTAGAAAGAGTCCCTCAACTTGATGAAAGCCAGTTTTGACTATTTTAAGAAATAAATATTACTTAGCAGGATTACTTATGTGGACTAACTTGTTCTCCACAGACGCTTATTAAACAAAACATGTCTAAACATTATTGCAATGAGAAACTGAGCTTTGAATTGAAAATAAACAAGTATAATTGATATTTTGATGAGCATATATCCCTGCCAGCACTCAGAGTACTTCAGCATAAATATTGCTGAATGAATAATATTAATAACTCATTTGTTTTTTTAGGAATTTTCTCTAATTCCAATTATCCCCACATCCTAAAGTACGATAGTTGTTTATGATGCACAAGACTGCCATTTTCGGGTTAATCCTGTACTCTGAGCCATCCTCAAAACAAGTATTAATCCTGGATGAAATAAAGAAATACATTTTTAGGGCATCATTAATCTGACAGGAAGTTTGGTAATCCAGAAAACAAAATGAAAGCCTGGTTTAGCAGCATGAGCAGGTAGAGGTGCAGGCTTTTGTCCTGAGAAGGGGGGATAAGGGTTCTCACCTGCATAGGAATGAATGGTACATCAACACTAGCATAAAGCCTGGGAAAGGAGAAAGAGACATAGATTGTTGTCAAGAGTCTTAGGTTGTATGGGAAGTGGTACGATATCACTTGACAATGACATGTTAAAAGATGTGCACTATAAATTTCTGAAGGAAACACTGGGATAACAAAACAGGGAATTATAGCTAATAAGCCAGCAAACAGTACATAATGGAATCATAAAACATAATTTGAGAAAGTCAGAAAAGAGAATAAAAGACAGATGAGCCAAGTGAAAAACAAATAGCAAGATGTTACGATTTAAACCTGACCACGTCAATAATATCATTGAATGGAAACAAGTCTAAACAATCCAAGTGAAAGGCAGCAATTATCAGATTGAATACAATTGCAAGGCTCAATTATATATTACCTACAAGACATTTAAGTGGAAAGACACAGGAAGATTAAAGTGACAAGATGGAAAAAAAATAAACCTATCAGTAGCTTGGAAAACTAGACTAGCCACATAAATATCAATGTAGATTTTAGGGCAAAATATCTCCAGGAATAAATTCTTTTCATAACTTCAAGAGGGTAAATTAACCAAAAGGACAGAAAATTTCAAAATACATGAAGCAAAAAACTGATACAACTGCAAGAAATTGACGTATCG